TCACTCACTCACACTGATCAACCAGCCAATTGATTGGTCGTTATATACGAGGAATGAGCAACCGAACCAGTTCACAAATTCAGTTGGATACTCGTGCAAGCCACTAACTTTGTCCGCGCCCGGTTGGCGGCTAGCGATGGCGGTTACCGATCGCGGACGTGTGATAATTGCAGTTAACGCACATTGAAGGATAGTAGTGGTATGGTTGGTGACTATGACAGTGTAGAGATGGTCAGTGGAACTCGATGGACGAACGAATGCCACACTGAACAGAGAGAGACAGAGAGAGGACAATCCGGCGAGCGCGGGGAGTGGGTGGGCAGTCTGGGATGAGAAAATCAAGTTGCTGATCAGTACAATCTGATAACGCTGATAGACGCGTTCCTCGGGATGCTCCCCATGAACACACACACATACGGTGCACGTGCTGACGATAAGCGCATCTCAGTGCGCNGACCCGATATACGTCTGAAATTGAATTCACACATGTAGGTTAACTTTAGAATAAATAGTTCGTTCGGTGTTTCGATTTCCTGATCGAATCGTGTGATCCGTTTCTGTGTCTTAACTCCAGTGCCATTTAGTACGCGGTCAATCAACGTTCACGCAACTATGCTGCCATCTACTCACCCTGTGCTAAACATTGGCACACATTTTCCGGATGTGGCGCAAGCTATGAATCACACATGTTTGCAAGCAAACAAACAAACAAATAAACAAACCATCCTCGAGTCTCACTATCCATTCTCGCAGACCGGAGCTGTTTCTCTCTCTCTCTCTGTGCGCTCTCTTTGGTCTGGAACACGAATGGGCACGGGTGCCTATGGTGCTCTATCATACACCTTATCATATTATATCGTATCACATATCACGTATCGTGATATGTATAGTGCATATCGTACGGCTCCGTCCGTCCATCAGCCAAAGTCATAGGAAGCCTAGCCACACACACGCACACGCCCACACGCGCAATATGTGCAAGGCTAACTGGTAGTTCAAAGCCTCACTCCCATCCCTTGTGCTACTCGTTGATACTCTATCGAGACATTGTACAACCAACCTTTATCCCCTCCCCTGCTCCCGCCCCCTCGACGTACACCTTCCTCCTTTCCACACCGGGCGCACAGATGTACACAGATTTTATCGCATCAAACAACCGGTTGATCACACAGAGCTGATAAGCTGGACTGATTCCGCGTTGCCATCCCGCTTGTGGCGCGTCAGCATCCGACTGTCGTCATTCTCCTAATCCACGCGTGCACACACACACACACACAAACATACAGGCACGACGTTCATCTCTCTTCTCACAGTCGGCGTCGTCGTCGTCGTCGTCGTGGTCGTCGTTGCCCTCTCTGGTTTCAACAACCACGGGAGCGATGTCGAAATCATCCTCATTATCGCGGTTCCTGATAAGTATGTATGCATGTATGTGTGTGTTTGTGCACACTCACTTGTGTTGTGGGTACGTTTGGGAATATTGCTATGTTCGTGTGCTTGGCCCGATCGATGCGCCAGGCTGATAGCGCGTGTGGCGTCGGATAAGGTTGGTCGTTCAACCCCATACTTGCTCGCTCGCTCCACCCCATCTCATCTCGGATTTTCGTTCAGATACAGACCCCATGCCAAAGGCGCAGCAGTTGCAGCGATGCCAAGTCCCGATAAGTTATCAAACCATCTATCTATCCCGGTCTGTCACCGGGACAGATACACAACCGCGCACCCATGTGGCGCCCACACACACATAGCACACCAGTACACACACACATAAGCCGTGTACGTCGACGAGCACAAGGCGATGTGTGTGTGTGTGTGTGTGTGTGTGTGTGCTATTGCGGAATAATAGTCGGGCAAAATGGAATTTTTGACACACACAGGGCTCGGTTTCGTGACAAACCGGACCCAGATGAACTACTACCGCCAATAGTTGGCGCAGCTGACCGAACCAACGCACTTCGCATCTTTTTGTTTAATTTGGCTTGCCTCGAACCCAGTGACATTTGAAATGTAGCCATGGGGGGGAGGGGAATTTTCCCATGATCGTACGACCCCCTAGCTAGTGTGAAACGCCATCACTCCATCATTTCACATGATGAGAGGTAGCGCCAAGCAGAGAATATCGGAACTGACAGTCCCAATCGTCCGCCCCTGGTTCACAGAATCTCTCCGCGAACCGAAGTAAACCGGAGTTTTTGGAAAATGTTGATATTCCAGCATTTCACGGATCAAAACCAACGGATAACCCCAGAACACTAGCACCGCTCATTAAATAATTCCCGCAGGGAATTCC